AAGCCAACTGGTTTGGGAGTCATTGACAAAAAGCTCGTTACATGGGTAACTTAGAAAGCCTAAGGAAACTCGACCTATGAAAAAAAAAATTGAGGGAAAAAAAAAGAAGAAGATAGTAATAAGTGCTAAGGTGTGAAGGTCTAAACTCGAAACTTTTTACTATGAATTTCCACACACACACACACACACTAAGTGCTCATGGGCTAAATCTTTTAACAAGTGGTCATGGGCTAAATCTTTTAACAAGTGGTGTGAAGAATATGATGAGTATCTAACTTTAAGTGAGTATATGAAAACTCTTGAATATTTGAGACTTTGTATCTAATTGAACTTTAATTTCTAAATTTTCTTTGCATGCACATCATGTAGTTACATTCTTGCATTGGGATTTTGTGGGTAGATCCATTGCAAACCCTCACGAGACACAACTCGTCCACTAAGGTGACCTAGGGGTTTAAAGGCTTGTTGCACATGCTAAGTGCAATCGTGATTCCTACGAAAGTGAGTTAGATTTTATTTTTGTTTCTTTTGTCTTTCTATTTTACTCGAGGACGAGTAAAACTTAAGTTTGGGGGAATTTGATGAGCTAAATTTATATACATATTAATAGGGAATTTTTACTTTGATATTGTTGATATTTGGATGAGTTTTATGGGATTTTGTTTGATTTTACATGGTTTTCATTATTTGTATAGGAAAGGATTTAATTGGAAGAAATCTTACTTTTTAGAAGTAAATTGAAGAGATCCGAGACTTGAGGATCAACTTGTGCAAAATCCAGAAGTCAAAAACCAAATCTGCTATTTCACCATTGAAGAAATTGCAAAAGGAAACTAGAAACCCGACACGGGTGTAGTGTCGACACGTAACCGAGGTATCGACACCATGCGTTAAACGTCCAGAATCAGATTTTGTTTCCTATTCTGTGTCAACACGTAATCCAAAGTGTCAGCACCACGCGATCAGCATCCAAAATTCAGTTTCCTATTTCTGTTCCAAGTCCTACTTCTATTTTAATTAGGGTTTCTAAAAGGTTTAAGTACCATTTTAGTCCCTCAACTTTTCACTTTGGCACCAAAATTGTCCCTCACCTTTAAAAAGTACCAAAATTATCCTTAAACTTTCATTTTTAATACCAAAAT